TATATATGGTATATGTGGTATATATATATATATATATTTATATATATATATATACCATAGGCAGAAGCGGCATTCTCCCCGTAAATTTAAGACTATTCTGCAGGTGCAAAAAACGCAACGATCCCTCAATAACTCTGTAAGATAAACTTAATTAATATCACCTTTTTGCTGGAATTTAAATAATAATAATATTAACGGCAACTGTCCAGATGAGAGTCAGTGTGATGATGACTCAACGGCTGGTAATTCTACAGACTAATGGATGTTTTACTCTACTCAGGTGAGTGTGTGATTTTTTGTAATGCTTGATGATGCTTTTAGTTTTTTTTAATGTGTATGTGATTGTGTTATACGCTTATACGCTGTTTATACGTTTTTATGTGATATGGAATTTTTATTTTTATACATAATCGTCCTGCTCTGCCGTGTTGAATTGTGTATGCACTGAAGAGACTGTGACCATGTCGCCATTTTTTTTGGAATTCTGCCACTGATTTCATATGATACTTTACTTGAAGTGTGCAAAATAAAAAGTCCATCAAATCCTGCGTATTATTCACTGTGCCATATTTTCCACGCTAAAAGATATAAGTTGCACCAAAAAAAAGATGCTACTGGAGTATGTCACACCAGTGCCCTCTAGTGGATGTCAGTGTAAAAATAACGAACATGTAAATTTTCAGTGGTACAGGAATAACAGATACTAGTGGACAAGCCTAGAGTGCCCTCTAGTGGCTGTCAATGTGAAACTAAACGTAAATTGTCAGTGGTACAGGAGTAGCAGATACAGGTACACAAACCTAGAGTGCCCTCTAGCGGCTGTCAGTGTGAAAAAAACATAAAATTTCAGTGGTACAGGAGTAGCAGATACAGGTACACAAGCCTAGAGTGCTCTCTAGTGGCTGGCAGTGTAAAAATAAACGTAAATTTTCAGTGGGACAGGAGTAGCAGATACAGGTACACAAACCTAGAGTGCCCTCTAGTGGCTGTCAGTGTGAAAATAAAAAACGTGAAATTATATATTTTTATATAAAAGTCGCACCTAAGCACAAACCCAGCCAAAGGATGGAAAAAAGTGCAACTTATAGGCCGGAAAATACTGTAATTTTTTTTATAATCTAAACACACACAAAAATGTCTGTGCGTTTTAGAATATACCGAATACCTATTCAATGCCCGCCCCCATTTTAACCGTGATCTTTGTTGCCGATACATTTGAACAGATTTCTCTTCTTCCATTTTAGTCTGCCTTCAGAAAGAAACAAGAAGCACCGCCATGACAACCTGGCAGTGGCTGTCACTCCGCTTCAGTGCCATAGACATGTTTCTACACATTTGAAATTCCCAGCTGTGCCCTTTCCATTAACACATCAATTCCCACAACCGGTTACTTGCGTGGCGTTTGTAGCTGCGTGTCGCTGCTGCAGCTCCTGCAGCTGCTGCTGCTGCTGCTGCTGCTCTGAGTGGCTTTCGACGGGGGAGTCAAGCATGGATCCAGGCCAGGATTTTAAAAAAAATTAAAAAAACAAAGCTTACAATCTCTGGTTTGAATAGAAGCGTGGACACACCTAAGATCGGCATGTGGAGAGAATTACATCAGACGTCGAGCACTGACACACGATGATTCAAGTTGATCTCATCTATGTGGAGTTTTCAGAGAAAGCTTTCAGAGGAAATTTTCTTTAGATCCAACAAGCGCCTTCTTCACCTTCTCGGGAGTTGATAACTCACTTCTGGTTATGTTTGCACACCATTTGAAAATCATAACAGTTTTAAAACATTTGTGCTCATCCTCCTCAGTGAAGCCATTGAGGCATCGTTTACAGGAATCATCATTTACCACGGTGTGCTCGAACATCCTGCCTACAGTCAGGAGGTGGGAGGTCAGTCCCACATTGACAATATCTCTTATGTCCCACTGGTCTCCCTTGTTGTCAATGTGCTGACTGCGGCGTATCCACCCTTCATTTTGCTCGCATAGTCGTTGTTCTGCGTCATGGTTTTTGGCTTGAAAGAAAAGAAACAAAACATTTCTGCTTGTGCTGCATTAATAATTATGTACCACAAGAGGGCAGCCATTTTCTTGCCGGACGATACACTGTTACCAGTGTTTGTTCTTAAGGACATTTATACTTTATTGACCCCAAAGGGAAATTAAGAAAAAAGACACTGTGTACATTTTTTATAATATTGATAAATATTGCTAACGGTAGTTGCGCCACACACGCATGTGATTATCAATAAATATGTTTCCGCCCGGTCTCGAACCGGGGACCTTTCGCGTGTTAGGCGAACGTGATAACCACTACACTACGGAAACTGTGAGAACACGGTTCTTGAACTCTTATACAAAAACCATTTGTGATGTCAAACTAACGCAGAAATATTCTTTACAGGGTTTAAATTGTTTTTTTCAGGCATCGTTGTTTTTCGTCATGACCTTTGGCGTCAAATAAACAAAAAGACCTCTCTTTTATTTTAACGCTTTATTGGTTTTAACATGTCAACATCATTCGCATATATTCCTGCAAAATATTCCCTGAAGATTTTCACCAGTTTAAATTGAACATTTTTCAGGCTTAGCTTCGTATACGTCATGATATTTGGTTTCAAAATACACGAACTTGCTCAGTTTGTGCTACAATAATAATAAACCGCCGCAGGAGGGCAGCATTATCTTTGTTAAACACCAGTCCTTGTATTTAAGGTTCAGTGTGACGTTACGGAAATGAGACGATTAAACAACTTAACAATTACATTTGACGTCTTAAAATTGAGCAAAACATACGTTAAAAGGAGTTTAAAGTTGTGTAGAGTTTTCAGTTCCTTAGTTCCATGTACGTTGCTGTCAATAAATGTGAAGACTACGTGTGGCCTACTTATAATGTCGTTACTGCAAGAAAACAAAGAAGACGACGCGTTAGCGCGCATGCTACTGCTGTGTTATCATTGTAAAAGCGCAGTGTTACTTTAGCACTTCACTGCTTTTACTGTGTTTTGAGGAGGCCTGCCACCTGTTAGAGTTTCCCCCCCTCCTCGACTAAGTCAGCTGGGACGAACGGGGCCCTTTTGTTCAAACACAGCTCCCTGCCGAGTTGCTAAGCTCAAGTCCAAGTTGGAATTTTCTTTCAGCTCCCCCTCAGATTGGAAAACTCGGTGAAGAAAATAAGACATGGGAAATCACTTTCTGCCACTGGTTGTGACATTCTGCATGTTCACCACAGGTAGGACGTTTGAGTGTTCGTACCTTGCCTCTCTTGTTTGGCGGGGTTTGGGGAGGATGTTTGTTGCTGCATATTTTTTTACCTTTAAGACAAAGAGGCTCGCTGTGATGAAGGCAAGGGCAAACAATGGTCACAAGTACAAGCATCAGGACAACGTGTTCCTGTTAGTGGAGATGTTTTTAAAGCAAGACGTTTCTATGCACTGCTAGATGATTTTTTTAGAACACTAGGTTTGTTTAAAATGTGCAAAAAAAAAAAAAAAAAAAAAAAAGTTAAACATGATCTTCAATGCAACAAAAAGGTTATTTTAATGCTAGTCCAAACTAGAGCACCTTCATCTTTCCTCATCAGTGCTAACCTTTGCCATCATAAAGACCTACATCCTAAAATGGCTAAAGTTCAGTTTCAGTTCTTGCAAAATTTGTAAAAAAAAAAAAAAGTTAAAAAAAAAAGAAGTAAAGTTGTATTTTTGATTCCACAGCCCCCTTTTAAAGTTGTTAAAATTTACTGTTGTTTTTACAAACGTGAAAAATTGTGGCTCTAGCCTCGTGTTTATGATCACCTTCGTATGTATTCTACGTGTTTTGTTTGTCTCAGGTTAGGTTTTTTTTTTTTTTTTGTGATATGATCAAAATAAAAAATGGAAAATCATGGGCTATTGACTTCAGGTTAGAGCGTTTGTTTTAATGTACTAATATGGCTAATCAGGTATACAAACTAAGGCCCGGGGGCCGGATGCGGCCCGTTCAGCTTTTTAATCCGGCCCACCAAACTTTTCTAAATTATATAATTATTTTATAGTATCATTATACTGCCTTTTCCCTGCAATACCCACGTTTTCCCAATAGATGGTGTAGGAAATGATAAATGCATTTTAGCATTTTAGTCTTTATCCATGACTTTTACATGTCATTTATTTTAGTTCGCATAAACGCTTCATCTATCTGCTCCTGACCCATACTTTTATAAAATTAAAGACAATAAATACACAAAAAAGTTATATACTCAAAACATCCTTAAATTGTAACGAATGTGCAAAAGGAATCTGTAAACATAGTTAGAAGTGACAAAGTAAAAAATCAAATTTAATATAAATATATATAATTTGCTCCAAGGTGTTGGTTGCACCCGCCAGCTAGAGTGCCCTCTAGTGGTCAGTGTGAAAATAACAAACGTGTAGAGTTTCAGTGGTACAGGAGTAGCAGATCCTGGTACACAAGCCTAGAGTGCCCTCTAGCGGCTGTCAGTGTGAAAATAACAAATATGCAGAAATATATCTTTTAATATATAAGTCGCACCTGAGTATATGTCGCAAACCCAGCCAAAAGATGAAAAAAAAAAGTGCAACTTATAGTCCGGAAAATACGGTATATGGAAATGAGGGTGCTACTCAGTGAGTTCAAAACAAAGTAAAGAAAAAAAAAACATGTCAAGTAAAAAATCAGGATATTCAACACTGGGGTCGCGACCCCATGTGTGGTTGCCTGGAATTCAAATGGGGTCGCCTACATCTTTTTTTTTTTTTCCCGCTCCAGAATCTCACAATTGTGCATGAACTTATCTGAGAAAGCTAAAAAGTTCTCTTAGC